GCTGAGTTCTACCCACTGCTGCCTACAATGCCCCCTGCAATGGTGGATTGATCAGAAGTGGCATCCAACACTTGCTGTGTTATAGACAAATGCCACAGAGGTGGGCAGGTTCTCAAACCTCTATCCCCTGCAATGGCTGGGGTCTCAGTCGCTGCCTGTCCCCCAGACCAGTCTAGGCACCTGAGAACCAATCTGAGCCTAACTAAAACCGCTGGGTTCAGCAGCAGGGTAGCCAGGTCCCGTTTAATGGTGTGAAAGCAGGAGGGCAGACTGGCGTTTGTAGTTTTATAGCCGTTGTCACCGCTGGCTGGTTTCCCATCTGAATCTAGCCCCGGCTTGGGCCTGTGTCGTGTGTGATCAGAGCTAACTGTAACTGCTGCCGCTCAAAGATGGCACAGCAAAGAGCAGGGGCCAGAGGGCTGAAGGGGGGGTGGGGGGAGCAGTTGTGACTTGAGGCTCTGGGGCTACACACATCATGTTGGTTTCAATTCTTAGCGTTGAGCCAGGCGTGGGGGGGCTTTGACAAAATGCAGAGCAGATGTTACAAGCAGTGCTGCTGAGAGCCCCTGGCCAGTGGCCTGAGCTCTGCTCCCCCAGGGGGTAGGCAGCAACGTCTGCCCTGGGACAAGGGGACGGAAAGAGCCCTGGGTGGGGTGAGAGCAGGGAAGGGTCTGACTCTCCCTCCTGCTGTGAGTGGGGGTCCCTGAGTCCAGCAGCTCCCCCTCCCCCCCAGCACTACTGGAGTGACCCTTTTACAACTAGCAGCCTAGGGGATGATGTCCATTCTATGCCCACACCCAGCTGGGCCTCTGCTGGAGTGGGGGGTGCACTCTCCCAAGAACTGGTTATAAGCCCCTCCTACATTCTTTCCCCACACCCTGGGGGCAGAGCGGGCTGTATGCCCAGCCCCTCTATCTCCCCTAGTGTCGGCTCTGGGCTCCACCACAGGCTCAGGTGCAGGGAGGGCTGAGATCAAACAGCACCCCCTCCTGGCAGAAACCCCCAGCAAGAGATGTGGCCAGCAGGCTGCTTTATTGTGTGTGACAGAGAGGCCTGTGCATGGGGACGCTCCCCCTTGAAGGCAATAAATTACCAGGCAGCTGGATTCAAAGCGGTGAGGATTAGCAAGCAGGAGCACGGGAGGAACAGCAGCCTCGGCGGGGTCTAGTCAGCCAGGGCTGCAATCACAGCCTGGGTGAAGTCGATGGACGTGGCGTATCCGCCCATGTCTGCCGTCCGCACCTGCAAAGAGAGGGGTGGGACCTGTTAGCCTGGCCCAGAGCGGTACGCTGCAGGAGCCTCTGAGCATGCTGCCCCGTGTGCTCTGCCAGCCGCCTTTGCCTCTGCAGTGAGCCCTGCCCCGGGGCCAGGCCTTTCGAAACAGGACCTGCTGAGGGCCAGGCCCCAAAGGGCCCCAGCCGGCTCCAAGGGCTTTCCCCCACGCTCCTGGCTGCTAGGCGACGGCTGTTCCTCCATCAGGTTAGACATAGCCCCTTAGCCTGTCAGCGTTCTGCCCTACTCCCAGCAGCGTAGGGCTGGGCCCAGGCTCGCCACTGGGGACAAGCCACCACTGCCAAACAGCTTGGGGTGATAATAAAGAGCCCTATTGCGAAGGGCGGAGGGGAAAGGGCCAGTGTCAGGGCCTGGCTCGCTGCTGCCGCGGGACACTGCCTGCAGGGGAAGACCGCAGCCTGTTAATGACACTCGCAGAGGGGACTAAATGGGTAGGAGCCGCAAACACCTGTGAGGACAGAGCCATCAGCCCAAGCACGAATAGAAACATGAGCAGAGACACATGATTAAGCTGGGCACATGCAGGTAAACCCAGCGCCTGCCTCCCCCACACGCTATGGAAACCAGCATCCCCCCAGGCAAGCGTTCACAAACGCCTGCTCTCAGGTTGCCATGCTAATCCCTGCCCCGTCTTCTGCCCACCTAGTGTTGCCTTCCTCCCTGCCCTGGCGCACACACCCCACTGTGCCCAGCAGCCACCAGCTCTCCTCCATTCCCATCACTCTAACCCTTGCCCACCCTGCCCTCAAGCATTTAAACCCCACCGAACTCTTGGGGAACAGAGGTGCTGGAGCTCTTGATACAGGAGCAAAGAACTGTAACATCCTTGTGAGCTGCATCTGCCAAGCGTCATGGCAGAGCAAGGCTATGGTCAGTCCTGGCTTGGGGGGCACAGAGAGACTGGGAGAACTGACTTAGCTAGAGCAATCCAAGATCTAGCTCCAGCTTTGCTGACCCCCTTGTCTACACGTGCGCCACTACAGCACTTCACAGTAGCTACAACCTCTGCCAACAGGAGGGTTCTCCCGGCAGCCTGGGTACGTCACCTCCCCGCGAGGCGGTAGCTAGGCCGACGGGCGAATTCTCCTGTTGAGCTAGCGCTGTCTACACCCGGGCTTAGGTCAGTGTAACGGCCTCATGCGGGGAGTGTGGATTTCACACGCCCCTGAGCAATGTAGTCACACCGACCGACCGACCACACCAGGCCTGAGTGCTCACTGAGCCGGGATGGGGAACCCCCAATCGGGGGCAGGGAGGTGACGTCCCCCCAGGGAGAAGAATGGGATTGGATGAAGGGGGCAGCTGAGGCTGAGCCCTAGGAGTAACTCTTCCTGCCTGTGGCAGTGAGAAGAGACACAAGCCTGACTGCTGGAGACTGGAAACCAGGCTGGCCAGAACCCCACTGGCCCTGGGAGGGAGGGCAGGCCTAGGGGTGTGCCGGTGTCTGCTCGCTCACTCTGATCCTACCTCACCCAGCTCTGGGCACCCGCTTCCTGAGGGGCTGGTACGAACCCTTTCAAACCCTAACAAGGCCCGTTACGAGCAGTTTGAGCTACTCAGCAATCCCCCTACCGCCTCCTGGGCTCCCCAGGTCTGTAGTAGGGGAAACACGGGGGCTTTGCAGGCTGACATCCATCTTCATCGGGCTAAATAAAGTAACAGAGAGACGGGAGGGGAGCCCAGCGGGTAGTCGGAGGCAGGCAGTGGCGGGTGCAGCTGACGGCCCCGGCTTTGACTGGTCCCACAGTGTCTGAACATGCTCATCTTGCCCCCCCCCCGCCCGGGCAAAGCTGCGGAGTGGGCAGCAGGCCTGGAGCACAGGACACCTGGGTCCCTCTGGCCGATGCAGCGTCTGCAGCGGGCTCCCTGCTCACGCTCCCTGGGGTGGGGGTGTTGGGCTTCTCTCCTGCTCCTGCCTCTTCTCTCCTCACTGCTGATGCCATCTGCTGTCCACGCAACACCGCTCTCTCAGCCTTCCTCTTCCATTCCCACCCCGGCTCTCTCCCCTGCCAGGCCCTTCTCTCCAGCCTCCACCCACGCCCTCTTGCCCCCCCTCGACCCATGCAGAGTGCAGCTGGGGCATACACCTCTCTTCCCAGCCCTCCTCGGGCACATCAAGGCCCTTCTCAGCCTGTCCCCACCCAACCTATCATCTCATTCGCTATCGAGGGAGCAGCTCCTGCCGCCAATCAGCCCATGAGCTCAGCCTCCGGCACCCAGCACATCATTTTCAAAGGAGCCCTGGCCTGCTTTCTCTTCTGCTGCCCTCACCCTTAGGAGGGCCCTGTAAAACAGCCACAAAACCACCTCCTCCTCCACATCTCTCCTTCAATGGGACGCCAACAAAAGAAATCCCGTGACACTGGTGAGGAGGCTGGGGCATGGATACCACTGCCTATCAATACTCTCTCATTGGTTCCTTGTATTCCCCACCTGCCTGGTCGTAGATGGGCAGGAACCATCTTTTTGTTCTGTGTACAGCACCAGGTACCCTGGGGCTCTGACCTGTGACCAGGGTCCTAGGTGCGTGTTCGACACCTGCACACACATTGCACACTTGCTAAACGGCAGGCACAGAACTCCAGGGACGGAGTGTACCAGGCTCTCCTACTCCTGCCCCCCCCCAGGCTCTCGGAAGGAATCACTACATGCTAGCAGAGGTATTAGGCCAATCCCTATGAACCCGCGCAGAGGCCCAGACCTGCTCCACCCTCAGCTGGCTCCCCGAGGCAACACTTTCGCCTCCAGCCACCAGGAAAAAAGCACACTTCTGGAGCTCCCCTCCTGCTGGGGCCAACTCCCTCCCTCCCCCCGCTCAGGGCTCAGCACGGCCGGGTTCTCACTCTGGAGCGATCTGGCTCCTGCACTGGCCTACCAGGGCAGGGCCGAGGGTGCCTCTTGCCGTGCCCAGTAACGTGTGCTGGGGAGAGCCCCGCATGCAGGGCTGAAACTAGGACTCACGGAGACACACAGCACCTGAGAAGAGGCAGGGAGGGAGGGGAGAGTTTGATAATTTATTCATGAGCATTAGTACAAAGCCCAATAAATACATTCTGCATTTCCTGAAGCGCACTCCCACCCCGCACGGCAGCGGCCCAGCACCGCGATAGGGGCCGGAGAGCCCGGAGGTGCATGCCTGGCCCAGCCCTGCCTGCCTAATCCATCACCTACAAGCTACCTCCAGCCTTGCTGTTCGGGTCCTTCCGGTCTCCCCCACAGCCAGACCCCACCCTGGCCCAGCTGGAATTCTACCCAGGGAAGAGGTCATGGTCACCTTAACCCTTCAGGACTTCACTGTTAGGCCCAGCGTTTCAGAAGCTCCCGCTAGTGTACATGCATGCGTGGGTGTAAGTGTTTTCTGAGCATGACTGCCTGCGCGGGGAGGTGCTGGCATCCGGCGTGTCAATGACACCAGTGCACACCATGCATGCAAAGCAGCAAGCGCATCATTCACGCCACATTTTAAACATGCGGCCCAGGAAGCCCCTCCCTTCCGACATGCACAGCACGCAGGGCCTGGGCCTCTCTTCTTCCTTAGACAGGCCTGGCTAGAGCAGCTGCTGTGCTCTCGGGGAATGTGACAAGTCACTGCAGAGCCCCGCGCTCGTCATAACCCCCCTGCCTCTCCCAGGTGCACCCCACGGCTTAGCCCCATACGAACGCAAGGGGAAGGCTGCCCAGCACACGCTGCGTTGCAGGGAACGACGATGGGCGGCAGGGTGCACGACAGGCAGGACGAGGCTACAGTAATGGGGACTGCACTCTGCTCTGAAGCGCACCACATGGGGCAGGCGAACTGGCCTAGAGCACTGCCCAGCAGCCAGCCTGAGGGAAGGGCCGGAGTTTCGGCAGGAAGGCTGGTTGGCAGGACGTAAGGAGAAGCAGCCTGGAGGTACAGACAGGCCCCAAGGATGGTCTGCGTCAGCTGGAAACATCAACGTGTCCGGGAGTGTCAGCCTACCTGTGTGGGGCCATTCTGATCTGGGAGGAGCGGGCTAGGCCTGCTGCCCTCGAGCTCTGGTCAGTGCCTAAGACTTCTTTCTGAGGTCTGTGCTGAATTTTATTGCTAACAGAGTGGGGAAAGCATCGTCCCTTGGGAGGGGGGATGAAGTTAGGAGGACATAGGGAGTTAAAAGCTTCCACCCCCCCCCCCCCACACACACACACACACACACCAGGAGACATTGAAATTTCCTACTTTCCATCTGTTCAGATTAACAGGGATGAAATTCTACTTTACTCCAAGCCAATACTAGACTTCATTTGTCACTTTGTGGACAGGGGTCTCCACCCTGGATGGTCCCAAGCTACGGCGAAGCCCCTCTGGAGTAGGCAGATGGTCCTGCAGCAGCAATCAGGGACGAGAGCACGTGGACGTGACAGCCCTGGTCAGCCACACTGCAGGGGGGCCTTAGCTGGAGCAGCAGTGGAATATTTAGGCTGTCCCCTCTCAGCTTCAAAGCACTGTACAAAGGTGACCTAGCTGACCCTGAACTCCCGTGCAGTGTAGGGCGGTGAGCACTATCCCTACTCCACAGAGAGGTGAACTGGCTCGCCCCAGGCTGCACAATGAACCAGTGGGAGAGCCAGGATCAGACCCCAGGCTCCCAATCCTGCACTCAGACCACGTCTCTTTGTGGTGACCATCTGACCATGACTGAGGTTGGTAACTGATAACTGGGCTGGGGGAGAAGCGAGTCCCTTCCCCCTTCGGGTTGCGGTTTCAGGCGGGCTGGCTCCAGCAGCCCAAGAGTGGGGGACATGATACAGGTTCGCCCCTAGGGGTGGGAGCAGGGCGAGAAAGGTCCATTCGGTCTGTACACTAGAAATGGGTGCCGGAGATCAGAGTGAAGTCCAAGGAACTCCCACACTCAGGTGGGGACCTAGACACCATAGTGTGGGTGCAGGTTGTCAATCACAGACTTGATGAAGTCCGAGGTGGTGGAGTAACCGCCCATGTCCCGCGTCCGAACCTAAAAATCCAACACAGGGAGGGGGAGAAACAAAAAGGGAGAAACGTGGATGTGAACCCAGGGAAACGAACACAAGATGGGACAGGAAACATGGTGACAGCAAAGCAGCTTCCCCCAGCTCCTGATCCCCCTTCTGAAAACCTCCTGCGCTCCCCCCACAGCCCTGCTGCAAACTGGAATAGACACTAACGCGCGCCAAGCCCCCCACAGCCAGCAGAGACTAGCAGCATCAGGCGTGAAGACAAGCAGGGAGCGAGACACTAACACAGCAACGTCTACAAACTGCGTCCCGTTCTACAAACACAGACAGCCCAAACGAGTTGGCCGGCCTGGCTCAGTGGAAGCTTTGATAACCTGGCCATGGAGATGGCGAGATAGTGACCTCTGCCTGGGGATCTGATTTCTCCTGAGGAGAGTGAACTCTACCCAAGAACTCCCCTGGGGAGGGGCCCAAACATCTCCACCGCCGTCACAACAGGAAATCGGTCTGGGGCAGGTAAGAACGACACAGACGAGTGCAACAGGGCCTGAGAATCAGTCTGTTCTGGTGCAGTAAGTCCCCATGCTACGCAAGGCCAGTCCCGGGCTAAGGAATTCCCCTACAGTCTCAACCCAGTGGCAAACACTACGCTGCTTCCCCCTCATGGGGACGGGAGCAGAGAGAAGTCCCAGCCAGCAGGCTCCAGAAAGGAAGCAGAAACTCCGGGAGCTCTGGACCAGGACAGGCAAGAGGTAAGGGCTCAGGGCTGCCTGGTACTCACTTTACCGACTTTAATCACCCTCTTCACCGCATCGGAGATCACATTGGAGTGATATTCCAAGCTAGCAAAAAGAACAAACGTTTCAGCTCCAGCCCTGTATATGCCAGTGGAATTCACACTTGCCCCCCACAGAGACCGGCATGCCCTGCCGCCCTCTCCCTCCCTCCACATGTAATGCAGCATGCGCACGTCTGAGAACAAGCACCTACTTGAGATGCCGCAGCATGTTGGCAGCGGAGAGCAGCATGGCCGTGGGATTGGCAATGTTCCTGCCCACGGCCTGGGCAAAGGGATGGCGAGCACCCTGCGTGAAGAGAACCACAATCAGACCATGTTCTACACTGCTGCCGCGGTGTGAGTGGGGGAAGGGGTGGGGGGGTGCCGTCCAGCCCCATCCTGGGAGGGGCTCTCTGGATCCACTGGCCCAGTGATAGGAGACAGGGAAGACGACAGAAGCCAGGGAACAAAGCAGCTGTGAGAGGGGATGAGCAAGGGAAGTCACCCAAGTGGGACACAAAAGCTGTGGCAGAGCTGGGTCCCTTACCATCTCAAACACCGCATACTCGGCACTGTAACTCTCCCCGGGAACCACGCCGGCGCCACCCACCAAGCCAGCAGCCAGGTTATCGATGATGTTTCCATACAGGTTTGGCATGACCAGGACATCGAACTGGTGGGGGTTCTGCACCAGCTACGCAGAGGGGAACAGAAGTAGACGTGCATGAGACCATTCCCTCCCCTGCTACAGATCAGCATGGGCTAGCTTACTCTGCAGCACTTCGGGGCCTTCAGGGCACACCAGTGCTGATGGGGTCACCCAAAGGGGCAGATCTCACCATGCCCTAGACTGGCCAACAAGGGGCCTAAGCAATGACATTCACAGATTAGTGCCTGGGCAAAGCCGGTAAAGAACCTAGCTTGCTGGCTACCAAGCTAGGTTCTTTACCGGCTTTGCTCAAGCAGATGATCAGCACCAGAGGGGCGCACTAGGGGACGGGACTGCAAGCCACTCTCACCTGCATACAGCAATTGTCAATTATCATGGTGTCGAATTTGATCTTGGGATACAATTCTGCCACCTCTTCACAGCACTGGAGGAAGAGCCCATCCCCCAGCTTCCTGAGGAATGAGAGCAAGAGACATTCCTTTTAACAGACTCCACGCTGCCCCAGCTTCCCCTGCTGGGAGAGCAGGGGCGTGACGATGGACTCAGCCACCCAACAAGCTTTCTGACCGTTCCTTTCAAAACGCTCACTGTCTGAACTGAACCCAGAGCGGCTCAGAGACGGGCAGGTCCCGCTGCACCCCACCGACGTAGGTGTATGTATGATAGACAGAGGTGAAGTCAGTGGGAATTCTGCCAATGAATTCAATGAGGCCAGAATTTCACCCAGGGAGTGAACAAGCATCTCACCCTCCCCGTCAACACCCTGCAGACACACAGGCAGGCCCGACTGTCTCACACTGCTGGGCTCTCAGTTACACCCATGCTGGTGTTTTAAGCACGTGCAAAAAGCACTAATGCCAAGGAAGCGTCAACATCACTCAACTCCGAGTTGCACTGAAAGGCTCTTCCATGAGACAGAGAGGGGACCTCAAAGAGCTACTGGGTGGCAGCTGCTGCGTATCCCATAACTGCTAGACACCCCACTTTGGTCCCTGTGCTATCAGACCCGTCTCATCGCACTCACATGATGTTGGCTTTGTGCACTGCTGTGACCTTTGAACGCCCTTTCTTGGTGGCGTAGTCAAAGGCGAATTTGGCGATGCGCTGTGACTTGTCCCGGGTGATGATCTTCAGACACTCAATGACTCCCTTCACGCTCTGAACATTGACAGAAACACATTAGCGGCTCTGGCTGTGCTGGACCAGGTGCAACACAACCCTGTGCTCTGCCACAGCTGGCAGCGCACACCCAAGGAGATCCCATTCAGCCCCGCCAGCCTGCATGGCACTGGCTGCAGCTATCGCCCCTGGACTGACCCTGGGCTCAGGCTCCAAGGGAAGTGGAGTTTAACTCCCCGTCTGATTCCTTTGGGGAAAGTAGAGGAAGAGATGTAGTGCATCCCCTCGAGCAAACACGTGACCCCATAGGGAGAGGCCCCTGAGGAACTCAAGATCGCCTATCTCCTCAGGCATCACTGTGGAATCGGCCCTGAGAGTCTTTTCTCCAGGGCTCTGACCAGACTAGTATGTCCCCCAAAGCACCACTTCTCCTTGGGAGACCATTCTCCAGCCAAACGCTGGCAGGAAGCTTCTCCCAGTCCCTGGCCTTTTTCCTTTCCCTGGAGTCACGCCACCACTCCTGGTTACAGCTCCTGACTCCACACTGATCCCGCTTCCTACTTGGGCTTTACACACTTCCAGTCCTTGTAGATAGTTCTAGCCCCTCTTCACCCCCTTGGCTGTCACACAGTCTAGTTACAAGCATCTTCTCCTCTTCAGCCTGTCCCTCCAAACACCCACATCACACAGGATGGCTCTTCCCCATATCCCCACGCTCCTCCTAGCACCACCACTCGAGCAGGGTGTGAGCCAAACTCTGCGAGGACGAGGCCACAAGGACAGGGAAACTCACCAAGGTCTAATGCTGTGCCATCAGGGAAGTACCAGATACAAGGCCAGGAACTGGCCTCCCCGTATGGCACAGAAAGGGATGGGGTGCAGGACAGAGGCTCCCCTACCTCATGTTCCAGAGAGCTGTACTCCCCCTCCGTCTGCTCCCGGATGATCACAAGATCCAAGTTGTTGTGCCGTGTTTTAAAACCAGGTAAACTGTTCACATGGACAACATTGGCGAACAGGTCTAACTTGCGCCTGTGAGAGGAACATCAGGATCAGGAGATTTCTTCCCACCTCCAGGCCAGCAATAAATCCCGTGTGATGGTACAGACCCGTCTTGATCAGAATTTTTAAGAGAGACTCTTCCATACAAGCCTAGCCCCTGTTGCTGGCCACTTGCTAATCCCATTTCCCTTCTCCAGTGACGCCTCTTGGGCCCTCTGTGAGACGTGTCCATAAACCGTCATCCCGAACCCCACCTACCGACTTTTCCTGGAGGATCTCCAAGACACGGCAGGAAGCAGAGTCAACGGATCATGAGTAAGAAAAACAAAGTGTCTGGCCAGTGAAGATTTTGCAGATGCCTTTTTGTGCTCTGATAACCCCTGCCCTGCACTTAGTGCCTAAATGTCATTCATAAATGAGGTGTCCAGAACACCCTGAATAGCTCGTTTGCAGTAGGAGATTTCTTACTGACTTCTGTTGACGTGCAGGGGCTTTGAACATGCAAGACAGAAACACACCTGAGCCTCATGTCATAGGAAGCCAGTTCTCCTTTGTACTCCATGGGAGTGTGGATCTTTCCTGTAATGACAGAACTGTCAGCATAACTGGTAAGAAAGCACATGTACAAAATCAACTACCAACTACTATAAACCCTCGGAACCCCACAGCATGGGACATGGGGGGATGAAAGGGGATTTTGTTTCTACCCTTGCGTAAGGAGCTTATAGTGCTGCACAACATGTGCAGAGTTCACTGGGGTCCGGCCCCTTGGTACCTTTGGGCCACATATTATGTGATCCAGTCTCACAGCAGCATCTGAACTTATGCCCGGTCAGGATAACATAAGAACAGCCAGATTGGGTGAGACCAAAGGTCCATCTAGCTCAGGATCCTGTCTCCTGTCAACACTGGTTCTCCACTTGCGAAGTAACTCCCTGCTCTCCATGTGTCAGTATATAATGCCTGCATCTGTAACTTTCACTCTATGCATCTGAAGAAGTGAGGTTTTTACCCACGAAAGCTTATGCCCAAATAAATCTGTTAGTCTTTAAGGTGCCACCAGACTCCTTGTTGTTTTTGTAGATACAGACTAACACGGCTACCCCCTGATACTTGTCTTCTGACAGTGGCCAATGCCAGGTGCCCCAGAGGGAATGAACAGAACAGGTTATCATCAAGTGCTCCATTCCCTGTCGCCCAGTCCCAGCTTCTGGCAAACAGAGGCTAGTGGTACCATCTCTGCCCAGCCTGGCTAATAGCCATTGATGGACCCGTCCTCCATGAATGTATCTAGATCTTTTTTGAACACTGTTATAGTCTTGGCCTTCACAACATCCTCTGGCAAAAAGTTCCACGGGATATTTAGAAGCTGAATCTATTTAATTTACTGAAGACAAGAGGCAAATTGATCTCCATCTAGAAGTACTTATACATAGAGAAGACATCAGATACTAGCGGGCTCTTTATCTAGCAAACAAAGGTAGAACAAGATCTAACGCCTGGAAGTTGGAACTAAACAAATTCAAGCTGGAAATAAGATGCAATTTTTTAGCAGTCAGAGTAATTACCCTTTGGAACAGCTCACCAACGGATGTGGTAAATCCTGCATCACTTGAAGTCTTTACATAGAGACTGGCTCTCATTCTAAAAGATTTGTGTTTAAATCTGAGCCCTAAGGTGCTCTATGTAAGAATCACTAGGTGAAGGTTTTTGCCCTGCATCATGAATGAGTCAACCTAAATCATCATAATGGTCCTGTCGGGCCTTAAAATCTAGGACTCTAGGATGACACTAGGCGTGCTGGCTGGAGGAGACAAGACCACCCAGACTACTACAACTACTACCCTTGGCAACTTCTGGGAAGAAGACTGAAATCCCCAGGCACTTTTTAAAGAATCTGGCACAATTCCGGTGTCCTGACTGATACTCCCTCAGCCATCAGCAGGTTCTAACATTCCAAGCTGCAGTGCCCTCGTATTAGATCTGTAAGCCAATATAGTATCTTCTGTACAAACTAGCCTATGTAAGATAAAGTGGTCCTGCACTGTATGAGCCACTGCTAAGTGCATTACGGCTGCTGAGTCTGCTTTACACAGATCTTGCACTACCACAGTGGATCTGGCATTGGGCAAAGTGCTTTGGGATCCCTGGTGTATGAAACACATCAGAGCAGAGAAAGCTAAAAGCTGTTCTGCTCCTTCCCATCTTGACACGCGACAGCAGCATGACCCCCCTTGTGTGGGGAGGCAGTAAGATTACCCTAGAAGCACCTCATCTACCTGCACCGAAGTGTCACAAACCCTCAGTGTCCCCTTTTTATTACTAAACATGCCAAACACTTTCCATCCAAGGGTCAGAAAGGTCCTGAGACTCCCCAGCCGGTCAGATGATAAGTACCAGTCTCATTTTACAGATGAGAAACTGAGGCACGGAAGTTACGTGAGCCTCTCCAGGTCACAGAGCTGGAGATAGAAATCAGGAAAACTGGCACCAGGTTTCCTTCTCCAATCGTCAGCCCACAAAAAGCCCCGCAGTCTGAAAGCGCGGTTTGGAGGCTGGGGGAGATTCTATAGCATGGAGTGGGCAAAGATCCGTGTACACCTGACAGATGCAGTCAGTGAGCTGCCACCATCCCATACCTATAATGGCCACTTTACTCTGCTTCATAGAGTCGACAACCTCATCCAGTTTGTCCTCTGACGCCATGTTCTGCACTTCGCTCAGGTGGTGCTCGTCAAACTCCACAGGGACACCAGCAGCCTGCCCAATACAGACACAGATGTAAAGAGTCCAGAGGCTGTTCATTAAATCTCTTTATATGCATTAGCCAAAATGAGCTTGGTGACTGGGTGGATCAGGAGATTGGGACATGGAGCCTTTCACCTTCAAGTGTCTGGTTCCTCTCTGAGCATAGGCTGAGGATGGTGTGTATTGGGAGGAGGGGACTGGATGGTTTTAGGGATTAGGAATGGGATCAGAGCCTCTGATCTCTAGGTGACTTATTCAATCCAGCTCCAGATTCATAGTGAAATGCTGTTGTTTTTGAAACTATGTCTTTGTTTAGGAAGTTATAACAGGTTTATCAATCCTAGGCATGTAACTATCAGAGACAGACAATCATCACCACAACACTGAACTTTGGTTTAGATGAACATTATACTGAAATATAAACAATGGGTCTCTAACAGGGTGTTACAGTGTTAGAGAGAGCATCTTGACACTACTCAGGACTTGTCATTTTCAGTGATTTTATTCAATTGAGTGAATTATCTGATTATGCATTGTGACAGACCCAGACCAGTGGGGTACAGGAGTCTGGTAGAGGGCAAATATACTGGTCACTGGATGAGTAGTTTTCTGTTCCCTGAGTGACCAGAGCAGGGGCTGCACTAGAGGAATCAGGAACCTGCTAGAACCAGTTAAGGAAGGCAGGCTAATTAGGACACCTGGAGCCAATTAAGAAGAAGCTGCTAGAATCAATTAAGGCAGGCTAATCAGGGCACCTGGGTTTTAAAAAGGAGCTCACTTCAGTTTGTGGTGCAAGTGTGAGGAGCTGGGCGCAAGGAGCTGAGAGTGAGAGGGTGTGCTGCTGGAGGACGGAGGAGCACAAGCGTTATCAGATACCAGGAGGAAGGTCCTGTGGTGAGAATAAGGAAGGTGTTTGGAGGAGGCCATGGGGAAGTAGCGCAGGGAGTTGTAGCTGTCATGCAGCTGTTACAGGAGGCACTATAGACAGCTGCAGTCCACAGGCCCTGGGCTGGAACCCGGAGTAGAGGGCGGGCCTGGGTTCCCCCCAAACCTCCCAGTTGACCTGGACTGTGGGTTCTTCCAGAGGGGAAGGTTTCTGGGCTGTTCCCCAACCCACATGGTGAATCTCTGAGGCAAGAAAATCCGCCAATAAGCGCAGGACCCACCAAGATAGAGAAGGAACTTTGTCACAGCATATTTAACAAACCAGGCATGTCTATCAAATATTGACATTCAAAAAAATTGGAGAGGTGTGCTGGTTTTTTAGAAAGCGAATGTATTTTGAGTATTTAATACTTTGGTTACCATTTATCTATTTGTCCTCTGGCTAGTTTTCTGGGTACGTAACTGGTGTATTAATTTTTCCATAACAACCACCTCCTATATTTTTTGAGCCATTCCTCTGGTGTTGGATTCTTTTTCCAAAGGGAGGTGACCAGTAACCTAACAGCTACTACGAGAGATTCAGTCATTTCCTTTTGTGTGTCCAATCATGAAATATTTTAAATTATTTTTCCGAATGAAAGTTTCTGCCATCTGATGACTACTTGGGTCCCAGATCTCCGTCCAGTCTCTTAGTATAGTGCAGACGAGACTTTATACAACTACCTCCATGTCAGAAGATTTATTTACGACAGTTGCTCCTGCCATGGTTAAAAGCAGGTTTGTCTTGTAACAAAGCCAGTGTCTGTCTGTTTTAAATTTGTCCCCAAACTGTGCTACTCCCTTGGTCAGGGCAGGACTGTAGGATGGATTGGAAGTATGGTTAAAACACAGTTAAGAGGGTTCCAAACATTTGAGCAACAACAGCATTGTAACCCCTAACACAACTGGTGTAGATGACTCAAGCATCCACATCAGACCCACGGCCACAGCGGGTATGAGATTTTTTCGGCAGTCACATCAGAGACACAAGGATTGACTGGGACAGAGAAACCGAACTCATCTTCTCACTCTTCGAAATGGGCCCCTGTAGGTTAGGGTCAGTGCACACTAGGGTATATGTGGGAAGCTTGGCATGGTTGCTACCCATGTTGAACCTGTTCTGGGGAGAACAGGGGACGACATCCTCCTCCAGGATTTTCAGTCTAGAACCCTACCTCTGCACTAAAGAGAAGAAGTGAATTGAGCTTCAGTTAACTTACAGAAAAGGGTTTAAGAACTAAAATGGCTTTATCCATCCACAACCGTCTGGGAGTAAGGGGAAGAGAACAACAGTCCCGCCTGGATATGGCAGGAGACACATACACAATCCAACTGCCTTGCAATCCAACTCCTGCCATTACATCATTTCTCCATCCCCCCCTCAGTCTCAATGAGGAGTAAGTGGCTATTACCTTGAACACCTCTTTGACAGAATGCATGAGCTCCGGGCCAACCCCATCTCCAGGCAGCATGGTGACCTTGAACATCCCTTCATGTTTCTCTGTCTGGAACAGGAAATAGAGAGGGGTTAATTCTCCTGCCACCATCCTACACAATATCACCCAATAAGAGTGGGACAGCGCATTCCCTATCTGCAATACTGCACCCACCTCTTCTGAGAGAGCAAGCCCAGTCAGAGGGGGCTCTCACGCTACTGCCAGAAACAGCAAGATGAGAATTGCCATTCTCAAAATATTGGGGGTCATCAATGCCGTTAGATCTCACAGGTATGCTCAGGGACAATCCCCTTGGTGGAGCTGGTACCAGGATTTGAGTCCTTACAACGGTCAAAGGGTGAATGGGAGCTGCTAAGACCCTCTCTGTTGGTCAATGTCTCTGGGAAACACCTGGCCTCTGATGAAGGAGAATACAGGAATCTTCCAGAAGAAACTGACCCAAGACTCTCTGTAGCAACATTCAGTTCCCCCATGAAACTCTCTCTGATGGATTAAATCAGAAAAGACCCAATGCGCAGGGCAAAGCTTGCTACTTGAAAGTAGCACAGAGGGTCAGAGGTTGCATGGTATTTGTTCCCTGTACCCAGGAGACAGCTTTACCTTTAATTTAAACCACCTAACAGTCACCCATATACAAAATTAATGGGTGTCTTTATATATAAGAGTTACAGTTAATGTCAGTCAACAGGCATCACAAGCTAAAGAGTCAGAGAACAAGCACTTGAGATGGAGACTTTGTATAAACTTTTCCTCATCCCACGATGGAGAAAGAGACAAAGACTACCAGCACACCCATATTTAACATAGGAGACCATTAGTCCATCCACTCCTACATCGGCCAACACCTGATGCTTTACAGGAAGATGAAAAATCTTAGTACACCTGGCCACTGTTGTATATAGGGCAAAATATCCCTTCCTAATAACGGTAGTGATCAGTTGATGGCCTGAAGCATGGGATTTTATTACTCCATTTCAGCACAAACTTCTACAGAATGGTCTTAGTTACAAGCTTAGCCAGCCCTTTTAAAAATCTGACCTTAGTATCTGACCTTGACCCTGTGTGTCTATAAATTATTTAGCCATGTTCTGTATAAACAATTTCTTTTTATTTGTTCTAAATTTACCTGTCATTGATATTCAATGACCCATGAGACAAAGTTTAAAAAAAAGGCACTAACCAACTTCCACAAGAAGTCATAAAGCCCATCAGTCAAGTCCCTATAGGTCTTCTCCTTCCTAGGCTAAACAGCCCGAGCTTTTGCAATCTCTCCCCATATGTAAACTCCACGTCAGGACTCGTAATTATCCTCTCTGGACTTCTATACTGCCAGCCCCAAGCATTAAAAAACCCAGGGCAAAGCTCCAAAAAGTCATGGGTTAAAAAAAATAAAATAGGTCTTTTAACATTTAAATAATAATGTGGGGTTCTTTCTTTGCCTTCTGGATTTTGAGCATTTGGGGTTCACAATTTTAAGTTCTTCTCTGCACAATGAGAGCTGCTAACATTTGACATCAGGTGCTGGGGCTTTAAGAAAAACACCAGGTACTATCAGAATCACAATACAATCATGAGTTGGCAACACGAGGACCTTTACAGTCACAGCTCTATCCTCAAGATGCAGTCACCGATGGCTACCCTTTCATTACACAGAGCAGCCACTAAACGGGTCTCTAAGTCCCTGCCTCATTGTTCTCCAGATGAGTCCATGTTATCCCACATAGTGTTTTCCGTGTTATTTCCTGTGGCTTTTTAATGCATCCTCAGCACTTCATTTCTTCTGCTGTGGTCACTGCATCTTTGCTCCTTGAATAGAGAGAAATATCCATCTACCCGCTACCCTCCCCATCTGACTCTGTGCTAGAGAAAGACTCAGCCCCTTGAAAACCAAATCCATGGAAGAGCCCCCGCGTTAGCAGCTGGGAGATCAAACACCACATGCGGGATATGTGAGCACATTGCTCAGTGAGTGACTGAGAGGCACTTAGCTACTAGGGTGATGAGCACGGAACAGGGGCCTAAATAGGTTAAGAACAGAATAGCCAGGAACCAGACTTGGCAGCAGAGCTGCAGTGAACCTGATAAACCCTCCCAAGCAGCGCCTGGCCCAGCCTGGCCCCCCTGAAATAGGGACCGTGTCTCCCCTGGCGCCTGCTCCCACAGCGTTCCCCAGGGGAGCGGGGGAGGATGGGAGGCGCCATCTCCCCACTCCGGGAAGGGGCACGTGGGTACAAAGGGGCCTCTCACCTGGCTTCGCAGTGTCTGCTGGGGGGCGGCGGAGGCGGCGCTGAGGGTCCTCCAGGCCCCGCGGCCCTGGGCGCGCAGAAGAGCCTGCAGGGGAAAGAGGCAGAGAATAAGAAACCCGCAGCCCCGGCCTCCCTCCCTTCAGCCCATCACCCAGCCTCACTCCCCTGCCTGCCCCCCCTCCCCCCCCCCCCTCAGCCCGCCTCCAGTCCCCTGCCCCCGCCCCCGGCCTCCCTCCCCTGCCCCCGCCCCCGGCCTACCCTCCCGTCCCCTCCGCCCCCCAGCCTTCATCTCCTGCCCCCCTCGGCCCGACCCCGCCCCCAGTCCCGGGCGACGCGCCCCCCGCCTCGGGAGGAGCCCAGGCCCGTCCCGCCGGCCCCCGCGCGGCTCTCACTCCGGCAACTGCCCGGACGCCGCTGATCGTCGCCATCTTGCATTCCCACAAGCCCAAGCAGCTCCGGAAGTGACGACACCACGGCCCGAGCGCAGAGACGTCACTTCCGATTGGCGCCTCCGCGGAGGCAGTAGCAGCGGGGGGGGGGGCAGTGTGAGCGCCGAGGGGGCGGGGCTACAAGGGGAGGAGCCCGGGGCGGGGCTCCCAGGCCGGGGGGGTCGCTGGCCACGTGCTTGTGGCTTGTCCCCCTCTGTGCCCCCCCCCGCCAGCCTGTGACCCCGCGGGGGGGGGTCGGGGGGCTCCCGCCAGGTCCCGGCCCGGGGGCCCCCCGAGGACAGGCGATGAACGCCGCTGCCCGGGGCCGGTGCGGGAGGATCGGGGCCGGAACCCCAGGCCATGGGGCAGCTCGGGTGGGGCAGAGGCTGTGGGGGTAGAAATAGCTGGGAAGGGGGGGGGGGGCTACCCCCCCCCCCCCCCCCCCCCCCCGAGGGCTCATGCCAGGCCCGAGGAGGCGGAAGGGCAACGAGCCCCCCGACCTGCCTGGCCCTAATGCCAGGACACAGGAAGGACAATGTCCCCTCCCCCCCGCCCGCTCTTAGCTCTGTGAACACCCCAGGTCTGCAAGGGGGGGGGGGGACGACAGCACTGCCCCCCAGCACCACCCCACCCTGCCCCTGGAGGAAACCCCCCACTGAGCCTGGCTGCAGCTCGCCCTGCCCAGCTCCTGGGGTGGCTGTGAGCAGGGCAGCGCTCACTGCCCGCAGCATGGCAGGAAGAGGCATCCTGCCCACCTGAAAAGGTGGCAGCTGAGGGACACGTGCCCTAGGAAGTCCCAGCTTCGCCCCCCGGGACAGCAGCAGTCAGACACAGCGTGGGCGGGGGTCTCAGCCATTTATTTACCCTAGTGAAGGTTACAGCGTGACAGGCCATCTCCCCTTCCCCCACGTGAATCCAGACACCAGAGCCCCCCACACTACACCCCATCCCCCAACCTCCGCCCCTCCCGCCCCCCCCTTCCCCCCCCCACCAGCTCTGCTGGGCACCACAACCCCCCCTCCCCCTTGCTCACCTGGCTGAGCTAATCTCCCCCCACCACCAGGATGGGGGAAGCTGGGCCTGCTGGAACTGTGGCTATGCTGGAGAGGAGGCTGCTCCTGCCAGAGGCCCCATTGCTAGCTGAACAGTGGCTCCTTCACCAGCTTTTGTGCTGAGAGAGAAGTTGCTGCAGGGAGGATGGTGGTGCTGGCAGAGGGAGAGGCAGAACTGCTGGGGGGGCGGGGGGGGCTGGCTCAGGGGAGGAAGATGGTACATGCACCTGCACAGGGCAGGGATGGGGGCTAAGCAGGATCGGCTGTCACTCAGGAGCAGGGATGCACCAGTGGGGCCAGCTGCAGAGTAACACGGCATGCGAGTTCTTCTCCCACCTCCAGCCAAGCACCCTGAACTCCAGAGGGCAGGAGTCCACCGCACCCCAGGGACAGGGATCGCTGCCACCTTAGATTCCCCAATACCGGGCCCCAGGTCATGCTGGTGGGCCCCTGGGCTGGATCTGCATGTGTGAGAAGCTCCAGGCCTCCTGTCCTTGTAACATCAGCACCAAGACTGTGTCCCCTACCCCTCGGGAACATACAGAAGGCCGGTTCACAGCAGGCTGCTGCGAGGGGGCGGCCGCACGGCGGGAGGGGTTATTTTTTCAGGATCTGAGCTTTGGCGCGATTGATCTTCTCCACGACGGAGGAGTCAGTGGCCGCAGTGCACTTGGACAGGACGAGGTTCATCTCGTTCTCATTCTTGTGCTCAATGGCAGCATCGGCAGCTTGGTCCAACTCTCTGTAGGTAAACGATGGGAGAGTCAGCGTCATGCACGGGCAGAGTCAGAGAGGCAGGTTCCGTCTCCCCTGGTTCCCTCTGCTGTGGGACCACCCCATCCCACCCACCGACACCACCCTGCCTTAGCTGGCGATCTCACAGCCGGTTCAGGGACACCTGGCACCCCCCGCCCCCATAGGGCACATGCTGCCGCGGGTAAGTGCACCCCCCACCCAGGTGCATGCTGCTGCGGGTATGCAGCCGCCGCCAAGGACACGCCCATGCAGCACACACAGGAGGCTGAGGACTTGGAGAGGAAGCTCATTCCTTGCAGGCAGGCGCATGCCCCACCTCCTGGCTGCGTGCAGACAGCGTCAGGACTGTTCCTTGTGTGAAGGAAAATTTACAGAGGGCCTCAGGCTTTGGTCAAGCTAGTAGGCCTGAAGTATTAGCTGAGCTTGCTTCTGTGTGTAAGGGGCATGAAGAGGCAAAAGGGGGATGGAAAGTCCCCAAAACAGAACAATGGCCTTCTGTGTACAGGGGGCATGAGTAGGCGAAGTGGAAAGTCCCCAAACGCAATTTGCCATAGCCAAGCTTGTTGTTCTGTAGCCACAATGGAAGCATTAGAAAAGTCAAACCACAGAAGTAGATAGGAAATAACAACAACAGGAAAAGCCAAATAAGGGAGATGATTGTTTCTTTCTGCTTTTGACCTGTATTAAATTTTGCAATTGTATTCCAAAGAAGGTAATCAACACGAAATGTATGTGTAATTTGTCTGTGGTTTTAAGCTTTAAAAGGCTTGTGTTTCTTGAATCGGGGGGCAGCTACTGAGAGTTGTTACACCCCCCCTCCCGCGCTTGTAATCAATAAAGGAGCCTCAGGCTGATCTGATCCAAACTCAACGGGGGGTTGATTTTCCACAACACTTGTAATGCACAGGACAGCGCGGGGGAAGATGAGCAGACGTGCACCACGGCCTGCTAGGGCGCAGAAGCAGAATGACTCAGCCATGGAGTTAATAGCTCATGGAGTCTCCATTCATTCCGGGGGTAGGGCCCTGCTATAATTATGGCAGCCCAGGACCTGAGACACACTGACCACACTCAGACCTCGGTGCCCCAGGTGCAGGAGAGGGCAGCCCCGCCTCCTCTGCAAGGGGTGGGTTTTTCCCTGCTCATAAAACCCTGTCACCCCAGCTTAACTGCCCACCTGCTCCTCATCTCCCTGTGACACTCCTCCCAAGCTGGGGTGGGGGACCCTGAACCCCTCTCTCTGAACCACAAGACGAGGTGTTAGTCGCAGTACAGAGCCAGACGCCAGTGCATCGAAAGGAGCTCCTCCCCTGCAGAGAGCAACACCCCCTTCCCTGAGAGGGCTCGTGGCATTTGACAGAATGGGGCACAGACGGGGCCTAGACAAATTAGAGGATAGGACCAAAAGAAATCTGATGAGGTTCAACAAGGACAAGTGCAGAGTCCTGCACTTGGGACGGAAGAATCCCATTCACTGTTACAGACTAGAGACCGAAAGGCTAGGCAGCAGTTCTGCAGAAAAGGACCTAGGGGTTACGGTGGACGAGAAGTTGGATATGAGTCAACAGTGTGCCCTTGTTGCCAAGAAGGCTAACGGCATTTTGGGCTGTACAAGTAGGGGGATTGCCAGCAGATTGAGGAACGTGATCATTCCCCTCTATTTGACATTGGCGAGGGTTCACACTACAAGAAGGATGTGGAAAAATTGGAAAGAGTCCAGCAGAGGGGAACAAAAATGATTAGGGGGCTGGAGCACACAATTTAGGAGGAGAGGCTGAAGGACCTGGGATTATTTAGTCTGCAGAAGAGAAGAATGAGGGGGGATTTGACAGCTGCTTTCAACTACCTGAAGGGGGGTTCCAAAGAGGATGGAGCTCGGCTGTTCTCAGTGGTAGCAGATGACCGAACAAGGAGTAATGGTCTCAAGTTGCAGTGGGGGAGGTCTAGATTGGATATTGGGAAATGCTATTTCACTAGGAGGGTGGTGAAGCACTGGAATGGGTTACCTAGGAAGGTGGTGGAATCTCCATCCTTAGAAGTTTTTAAGGCCCAGCTTGACAAAGTCCTGGCTGGGATGATTTCGTTGGGGTTGGTCCTGCTTTGAGCAGGGGTTTGGACTAGATGACCTCCTGAGGTCCCTTCCAACCCTGATATTCTATGGTTCACACAGGAAACGCCCATGAATCCCAGGTCACATCTGCAACCCACCCTACACTCAGAACCCAGCCGACCCCCTCCCACCCCCACCTCCGCACTCAGACATGCTGCCCATGCAGGGTCTCCTGGGGAGCTGGAGCACTCTGCTCTGCCTTAGCAGGGGCCGCTCCCCGTTAACTCTCCAGCAGACATACCTCACCAGGATGTGGGCCTTGACCCTCTGCTCCGGGGTCACGCGGGCAGCGTACTTCTTGGCCTCGTGGCGGTTGTGATGTTTCATGCAGATTTCGACAAAGGGCTGGTATGGAGAACAAGGGAGATGGGAATCAGTGCAGGCAGCAGGCTCGGCTCGTGGGGCCGCTCTTCTGGCTCTCTGCCACCAACCTCGTTCATCTCAACCCTCGCCCCCCCCACCTGCTGCACCTGCCTCTGCCCTTGGCTTTGGGGGTGTTCTTTAGTGCCCCAGTGCCTGTGCCCAGAACCTCACACTCCGCCCCTGGGCTGGTGGAATTCTACTGGGAGCTGGAGGAGAGGTGAGCTTCCAGGGTCCCATGCTGGGACGACCTGAGCCCCCATCAGGGATCTGCCAGTGCTGCGTCTAAGCTGGCCAGAGGGGGCTGCATCCCTAGGCCCGCGTTCCCTGCCAGCCTGAGCTCAGCACTCAGCTTCCCCTTCCTGGACAGGTCAGACCAAAGGCCTGGTGCCCTGTCTGTGGGACCCATACTAAAGGCAGACAGCTGGGAGCGAGCTGGGGCAGGACGCTCCCAGCCAGGGGGGTCTCTTATGGTGAAGAGAATCTCTTACCAGGTACCCAATGGGCGACTTCTTACTCTTGGAAAACTTCTCCATCTCCTCCCAGTCCTCCCGCTCGGCCAGGGCGCCAATCTTCAGCCACCAGAACCTGGGGAGCAGACACCTCGCGGCTCTTACTGGGGCCATCAGGTCAACTAGTTTAAAC